ATAAGACTTAGCCAGATCTTTAATTCTTGCATATACGCAACTCTATACGTAGCAAAGAGAGAAGGAATGGCATCAGCTCGCTAGTTGCCTAAACTCAGTTAAACCCACCCTGGATCTATATACTCAGGAGTTATAACCACAATGTATTTTCCGAACAAATATACTTTGTTCTGGGTTAATATATATCAAAATTATTCTTAGAGTCCTTTGAAAACAAATAAGCTTACGATTTCGCCTCAAACTTTACCTTCAATAAATGCTTATCATTTATACTTTTCCCCAGTGCTACTGCTGCCATGGACAAGATTGTCTTGCTGTTGATTATTGTAAGCCTTGCGATGGTGCTAGCCAAACCACGCGAGTCACGTGATATCGAGGACATTGAAAGAGACTTGTTTGATGCATTGGAAAAAAGGATGTACAAGCGAGGTATGGTTAACGATTCAAAACGCTATAAACCTTACCGCTACCGCGCTGCTTCGCACCTGGTGCATGAGGCCTTTATCGACCTTCTCCACTTCTCCAGGTTCGCTGCCACTGCCCTCGCTTCCTCCCATGTTCCAAATCCTAACTGCTCCCTTTCCTTTATAACTGTCCAACACCATGTTGTTTTCGGCCTGCCCTTGCGTCTCCTCCCCTCCTCAGGGGCTCATGTGAAGGCAATCATCTCGTCGCTGTTCTTATCTTTCCTAAGTATGTGTATATACCTTAAGCATTGTTTTTAATTAGTTTAATAATTACTCACGGATATATTTTATATCAGACTGAAATCAGCCAACCAAAAATTGAATGGGATGATGCACTAAAACCCAATTAAAATGAAGAAACCTATTCGGGAAAAATTGTCTTTTACCATTGTATAGACCAACTAGACCAGGAAAATACCATTGTATAGACCAGGAAAATAGTAAAACACAATCCTGATCAACATACATGCATGCAACAATTCAAATCTTTAACTTACTTCTAAAAAGACCTCACGMAGAGAGGTCGAAACTGAGCTCGTTTCAAAAAYACCATAAACATCATCTTTAACCATGTATAATCCTAGTTTCGCCTCAATTTTCAAATTATGTTATGTTCACGTGAAATTKTGTAAATGTCATTTAATCAATGCTCTCTGTCGTGTTTTCTACTGTCTCTAGCGCAAAAGTGCAGGATCTGCAGACTAGGGGGTTGTAAGGATGRCGAAAGGAACATTTATTCACTCGAYAGGCAATGCCCGTCGCATCAAATATGTTGCGCCATATAAACATATCAAAGGCAAGTGAAAAGAAGCATTAGAACCGAGGGTATTAATCCACCATTTTCACCGTCTCTTTACCTATTGTATATTTTCTTTTTTTCAGCTTTCAAGAGTATGTAAAGTAAATCCTACCTGCATCACAACATAGATAGTGTTTATAGTCTGCAGTAGTTGATTTGTTTCCTTCATTCATTCTATATAATAAATTGATATGCTACTCTGAATGTTAATCACTTGGTCAGCAATGGTTAATTATTAACCTTTATTAGTCATTCAATATCTC